GATCTTTTTTATTATATTAAAGTTATACTATATTCACATATGTTTTCATAGTAATCAAGAGTCACGTCTGGAGTGACAACATCATCCCAGTGAAACAGATGTGAGCCATAAAGTCAGCACTTTGACATTTTTGTTTGATCCACATTTCAACGCTCTTGAAACAAATAGTGCTCTATAGATAAGGAGTAGACGCTTTGTGTGCTCAGATGTTGGCAGAGATAGTGGGAATACTGTACCTATCAATAACAGAGTGTCATTCATTATAGAACACACTGTTGTGAAGATAGGTCACACTATCTACAGGAAAGAGAAGAATATTTCTTTTGATCCAAATCGCTACAGATAGTGTCTGTAAAGTATTTTTGTTGTTGTTGTTGTTTACGTGTGCTACATGATAACAGAGAGCAAACTGTGAGGAGGAGCAGTTGTAGTTTTTGTAGTAAACATCATTAGCAGCTGCCCTGGGACAGCATCCTGTAATGGGATGACAATGGAGATTACAGAGAAAAATAATATTAATTCCATTAGTCTAGCATATTGGACCAATTAGTTTTGTATTCTCCATTCTACACCAAGAGGTTCAGGGACAGGGTGGGGGCTTTCTAACACTTTAGTTGTCTAATAATGACACAGTAATAGACAATAATACACAGAAACCCAATCGTAGGGCCAACATCAATGACACCATCAGAATAAGATAATTCACCTTATCATATTGTAATAATAATAGGCATATTTAGCTCCCAAGTAGAAATATAATCATATTGTCCTCTGTACTGTCTGGAGGTGTTTCCTTGCATCAGACTAAAAGGAAAATCTAATGTCATGTCTGACCTATAAAAACTTAACACTCACCGTCTCATCCATGTGTAAAATATGTATAGAAAAAAAGGCAAATCTGTCACCTGGGCATTCACAGCAACTTACGAAGCCATCAGCTTAATTATTGTTCATTTTAATGGTTAATGTAGAAATGGCCAATAGAAAACAAATTGGTCCAAAATGGTACATTATTTAAATTATATTTTTCGTCCCATTACATGATGCTGTCAACTTGCACTACCTCCTGGTATCCTTTTACATAGTCTTTTACAATTTACATCATGAGGTTTTGTTTTTCTGTATATACTGTTGTATATATATTTTGTTTTTTTCTCCTGTTGTGGTACAGTGGCTCTGTGGGAGTACCTTCAATTTCCTTGTAGCCCCCTGTTACAATGACAATAAAGGCTATTCTATTCTATTCTATGCTGCCCATGACACTTACTACAGAAACTACAACTTACAGTTTTATTGCCATAGTTCAAATCACTGGGCTCTTTATTTATCTCCCACATTCATTTTAACTGTTCTTCTTTACATGAATCCATTCGGCTGCTGTACAATGTGAATCTCACCAGTGCAGGAATAATAATGTCCCACCTTATCCTTTATCTTTGTACCGAATTATTGTCATTGTAAAGTCGTTTTGTTTTTTACCTTGTCTACTTGCGTCCACCTGTATTGACTTATTTTTTGATCATGCTTATGGTGCTTATAATGAACAAATGTATTTTTAAGCAGTTAATGTTTATTTTAATCCGCACATATGATAAGCGGTAGCTAATCTGTCACTGCACTAAAAATGACAGTAAGTTAAAAACCACCCTAAAGTTGAAACACATTTTGAAAAAGGGAAAACTCTGTTTCTGACAGAGAGGAATCATTTGATTAATGGAGCAAACTATAATAGTGCATAATTTTTATGGCATTAATCCACTCTTAAAACAATGATGCATTTTTGAGAGATTTCATAATTTTCTTGGATTAAATGTTTTCAGCTGTGTGTCACTGGTTTCCTGCGCAACGTTCAAACACTGGGGCAGATGAGACAATTCACAACATTTTGGTGGACTTGACAGTTTAATAGTTTGAAAAATATTTTGTATTCATCGTTTAATGACGACGAAATAGCGGGGAAATAAACCACGCAGCGAATGAATTAAAAAGTCTAATTAATCCTCCGTTTTATGAGGATTTAATGTGAGAACGGAGCAGCAGTGTCAGAGCACATCAAAACCGTGTATATCCTCAAAACAAACAGACAGGAAAATTGCAGCTTATTAGATTTCACTTGTCTCTTTAAGATGGTCGATACGGAGCGGCTGACCTTGATGAGTAATGAAAGATTAATAAACACGTTAACTCCGGAGCCTTTGGTGCTGTGGGCAGCCGGGCCAAAGGCAACACGAGCGGCAGCATTTCATCCTGTAATCGGCCTCACGGAGCGGGAGGCACAGTGTGTGCGGTCTGCCGTCTCACATATAAATCACGCTCACAAATGAAAAGTGGCAACCAAATAATGCTGAGTTTAACTCAGAAGTATATATAAAAAAACAAGATAGTTGGAGTTTACACGACACGAAGGATCTGCGGCCAAATGTAGGGAACTAAAAACAATCACCAAAAGGTGGTTTAGATTCAACAGAGCAGAACATGGTGTTCAGTGACAGAACATAAAGCAGCTGTTTATTTTCCAGACTCACCGCTGATAATGACTAATGCAGCCGCCTTTCCTATTTCACATTCGACAGAGCTCAAATATTCCCGCCTCCTCTCATCCACGCCAACGCACACGGGTCTATTGAAACACTCGAAAGGCTCCGGGCATCGGACAGTCACTGACGTGAATGTTAAAGTGACTTTTTTTTTTATCATCATGCCTCACCTATTCGCTGTCAACACATTCATCTGGAATGATAAGTGAAAACCCCGCTTACACAAATTCAATTCACCTGCTTCCTGCAAATACAGTGACAGTTAACTGGAGCTGATGGACCGGCTTCTTAATGCTACAAGTGGACTAAAGCTAATTCAGTACAGGAAGTACAGATTAGCAGACAGACAGACGATAACAAGGAATGTCAACTGATGAACACATTGAATCAGAGTAATCACAGGGCTTTTGAGGCTTAATCGTGATTACCATGATTAATCAAGATAGATTCAAGATAAATTGGCTTTTGAAAATATTATTTAAAAAAACTATTTATAAACTATGTAAATTGGAACTGAATGACAAATAACAGCAGGTGGGAAGCAGGTAGTATGTGTTTTATGCTAACCTTATCCAAATTATGGAATCATTAATATAAAAAAGTCTGAAAGATTACGATAGTATAATTCATGTCCTACTAAAAATATGAAATAACTACAGTATGTACATTTTTCTTTATAGATGGTGAATTTTAGTCATTATTGTGTATTTTAATGGTGGTTTCTGGAATGTGTTCTGCGTTGCTTTCAAAACTTTGGTCAAGCTCCTTGATATTAATCAGTTAACATGAGTCACAAGAGCAAAAGTGTGGTTAGTTACAGATTCTGCCCTTTCTGATGCCACCGTTTCTCTTCATGTTGGTAGTTGGCATCGAAGGCAGGTGATCTACAGGATGAAACCTGTCGGCTGCTGGTTTTTTGGTGCGTCGACATGCACAAAATTTTGTATACAGACACAAACACAATGATATTTCTTCTCTGCATTAAACCTGTTTTTTGATGCAGGACCACCAAGAAACTTTTAATGGCACTTGACCAACATGGCACTGCTAGGATCGGATTCACACTCACACAAAAAATTCAAGCCTGATCCTTTAACCACTCAGACTGCCTCGGAGAAATACTCATTGGGTTGACCACAGTGGTTCGCACGTTCTTGATACTGTATCTGGGTGTGTGTTTTCTCCTCCTAATGAGGTTTCTCCTCACAGCCCAGGAACATTCAGGACTAAGGTACTGTAATTGTTCACTCTAAATTGTCCATAGGTACATAGGTGTGAATGGTTGTTGTGTCTATATGTGACTCAGTGCTCTTCTCTGGACTGCTGACTTTGGCTTGAGCCAACTTTATGACCCTGTAAAGGATTACTATAATTGGTGGAGGATGAATGGACGAAACATTTCTCCTTCTGGTTTCATTAACCACAGGCATGAAGACATTGTTTAGCATTGACCTTTAAAGTCCGCCACAAAAAACAACACGGCTCACTGATCCTTTGTAAAAATTACAAAGAAACAGTTTAATTTGCTACATGTGTCAGTTTTGTTGTCATTATGTGGATCCCTCTGAACTTCATGATACTACATCTCACTCCGGTTTGTGCTGCCTTGAAACGATTGACATCTATTAGAGGCTGAACTAAATCCTTTTTTTTATTTTCAGTTTGAAGTATGACATTGGTAAAACTTAATAAGAGAATGTATCTGAATAATTTTTTAAAAATCCTCAGTTTTACTAGAGATGCCTTTATATCATCTTTTTAATGTCGGATACATTTTAATGGCAAGTACTTACAGATAATTCAGGTATCTGTAGGTACTTTTGTCTGGAAACAGTATGCTTAAGTGGTGCGACACATATCAAGTTGTGCAGTACAGCTGCTTATTTAAACAAATATATAAAATGTTACAGTAAGAATACCTCACACTTAATTGATCTAGATCCCAATGACAAAGCATTGACTAAAAAGCTAAAATGTTTACAATTTATTTTAAAAATAATTGCTTCAAGAGAAAAGGTTCATGGCCTTAGTTTGACACTAAAGTTGAACACATGTAGAACCCAGCCATTTTACTTCTCTTCTTGTAGCAATGCTAGGCTAACTGACCGCAACAACTCCGCAATTGTTACCCTAACTCTGTCTATGTCTTCAATCACGAGATCCACAAATCTTCTCTCAGGTCTTGAACTCTATCTCCAACATCTTTGGTCCAACTGATCAACTTTCTCTCCTTAGCACTTGTTCAAATGATCCTGACCTTGCCTCTAACCATCCTGGTCACTCCAAATACAAACACAGCATCTTCAAGTCAAAACTTTTACTGACAGCAGATTCTAACTTTCACTTTATGTTTAGGTTTTTTTTTTATATGATTTGTGAAATGAATACATTTCCTCATGCCTGGTAAAACAATGTAAGGTGCGCCTCCAGACCTACAGTACGAACACCACTCCATTTTTGGACCAATTTTTAAAGATTTATTTCTTCAGCATCAGAGCAAAATTTCACCTGGGCTTTTTGCCATACACATGTCTGGGAAACACATTTTTGTTCCAAATAGGTTCTGACAATAAGACATTTATGAGGAGAGACATGATGAGTTTATGATCAATTCTGACAGTCAAATACAGCTGAGTACGGTTTTGGCAAATCGTGGCAGGAAACCCGCAGGTGTAATTGATAACATTAAAGACATACATACATTCCACCAGGCCCAGCTCCTACCACGGCCCTGCTGCTGCTACTAGTGTTGCTGCTGCTGCTGTACACGCTGGCTCAGTGGGAGGCTTAACAACAAACTAATGTATTTTCCATAAACTTTTCACCTGTACTTTTCCTAAAGATGTGCCAAACTGTCTGCAGTGAAGAGGAAAATGAAGTGTATGGAGACTCTGGTCATTCCGTCAGTCAGATGGAGCCTCGGGTTCACAACTGTGCCTTTTTGAGTATTTTGCAGTGCTTGTTTACTCTTAAGTGCATGTCAGTTTTTTTTCCCAGGACCGTTTACTGAATAATGAATAGCAGAAGCAAAATGTGCATTAAATGCATTATGTGCAGGACTACAGCAGGACTTTGTATCTTCTAGGGATCTAATCTTTCCCCAGGAAATAAACAAAAGCAGCACTGGATTGTTTGCTACCCAACATAGTGCATGTTGGATAAACGTTCTACATTTTAGTGAACTTTTGGTTTTTTAAACATACCATGATCTACGCTGGTAAATATTCTAAATGCTGGTCATTTTGGAAATTTCCTTCAACTAGTGGCCTGCTGGCCAAATCTGGTCCATCTGTTCCGGCCTGCAACCGGATTCCAAAATTATGAGGATTAAAGAGAAAATACCATGTGACCCCTACTAATAAAGCATTAGTGTCTGTCCAAAAAAACTCTGGCCCTCTGACACACAGTCTGTGACCTCTGCTCCAGACATTAGACCGTGGTTTCATACAAGCATGACCGTGTTGGATGTCAGAGGTCAGATGAGATTCACAGATGAAAGAAAAGTAACAGTAACTCCAACAGTAACTCTTTACAACCGAGGTTCGCAGATAACCTTCTCTGAACAAACAGCACATGCAGCCACACCTTGGAGCTGATGGACTACAGCAGCAGACATCACTGTACACTCCATCAGGTGACAATAGAGAAGGAAACAGGAAGTGATCAGCTGTACACTTCCTAGTTCCTGCTTATATTTCTGCGTGGATATTTTACCACAAAAGACATGGAGTCAATAAAGCAAATAATTATGAAAAAAGGAAATTAGCCAAAGTAAAAAAAAGTTTTTGTTTAAAGCAGCAGGTTAAAAACAAGTGAAATAAACAACGAACATTAAATGATAGACTATTTCTTATACAGAAAAAAATTGAAATTTATTGTATTGATACAGACAATGTGTACACATAATTTGTATTGGCCTCAATGAATTGGGAAAAAAATCACCTGAAACTGGCTACTGACAATGTTGGTATTTGACTATTTTACAGACACTGAATTTCTTCCTCTCATTTCTCCAGAGTACACAACTGTAATAGACACACTGGAAGGACAGTTCAGGACCCGTCTCTCTGCGCCTTTACACCTGCTGAGCTGCAGCCTGGGCTGCTAACCTCTCCTGTCTCTCCAGCTCTGCCTTCTCCCTAAACTCCTTCTCCCTCTCAATCAGATGTTTCCTATCCACCTCCCAGGCCTGAATACGTTTCTTATACTCTTCCAGATCCAGTTTTTCTGAAGCAGCCAGCTTCTGTTTGGCTAGAGTGCTGACTAAGTCTTGCAGGGAGGCAGAGTCCACTTTACCCTGGGACTCTAGTAGGCTCTTCAGTTTCTGAATGTGAGAGAAAGGTCAAAAAGTCCTCAGTAGGTCTCTAGAAAGAACAGTTCAATTTGTCTCAACATTCTCTGAAATCAACTTCTGGATAAACACTGAATATTTCTGATGTTGTAATGACACTTTGACTCCACGCCTGAGGTAAATAACTTACCTTAAATCTGTTGATATAGTTTGGCAGCTGAGCACGTTCAGCCAAGTCATCTTCATCTACAGCATCTTTCTTTTTTACCTCCTCCTCTCCTGACTCCTCACCTGAAGACTCTGAGTCTGAGGCTGTGGATAGCTCCTGCAGCAGATCGTTCATGCTGTCAAGCTGGGGAAAAAAAATACAAAGTATTAACCTTTTTTACGATTGGGGGGTTCTTCAGAATCAATCACTACTGCACTTTAGGTTCTGGAAAAATAAGAACAAAACAAAATAATCTTTGCTTTTCACTATTTTCTTTTTAAAAGTTAAAGTTAAAAACTTTTTGAAAGACTAGTTGAATTTTAGGTTTTTTATATTTTGACAGAGAAAACACACAAACACTGTTCATACATGAATAGCAAGAGCCGTAAAGATAAAAATTTCAATTATTGGCTCATTGTCTAAATCCAATTAAAATGACCTTTTTTTTGAAAGAAAACAGAAAACCTGACATAAGAAGCTGAAATCCTTTCAGACAACTTGCCTCATCCCAGGTGAGTTATAAAGCTGGCACTGGCAACAGTGTCAGTGCCAGCTTTATTAAACAGATGTAATATTTCCTCTTTCCTGCTGTTTCACTGCTGCTGCACTAATTCACACAGACAGGCGGAGAGTTCCAGACCCTTCAAAATCACATTAGAGTGAACAAAGCCCACATATTAGACTGGACCCCAGGACACCGGCTACATAATGGGCCGTGACTAAGTGCATGTATGGAAAAGACTGCAACGTCTGAGAAGTGCGTGTGTGTGTGTGTGTGTGTGTGTGTGTGCCATTCCCACCAATGAGTAACAGCAACCGGTCTCTCCTGTGTGAGCCACGTTTTGACACTCTCCAGCGTTTTCCATTTTTAAATATACTAGTGTCACAACAATAATATAACACTTGGAGAATGTGTTTGTTTGACGTCAAAACCAACAGTCAGAGCAGATCTGGTACCGTGCAGGGAGCCCTGTGGTCTGGGGAGGTGTTTTGTTTTTGTCCGAGGTGTTTGTTGATACTTATATGGCGAAAGGACTGCAGGTCGACATTGTTGGTCACGTGGCTCTCCCACAGCTGTACTGTCCTTTCTCTGTGCTCTGTTACTGAATTTAGCTGTGAGATGTTCTGTAAGCTGTTCAGTATCATCAGTCATGACAGTAAATCAAAAACCAAACAGAGGACAATGGGCCTTTGCTAAGGCGTTAAGAAAATAATATGATTGAAGTATCAGAAGAAAAAATTAAAAGATAAAGGAAGTATGAGATGAAAAATTGAAAGAAAAAGGAGATGATGAAGAAGAATGAAGACAAAAAGTAGCAAAGGTAGAAGAAGAGATAGACGATAAAGGAGAAGACACCGTAGATATAAATAGACCGGTGTCACTGTGACATAAAGGTAATTCTCCCTCAAACATCTGTGTCCTTACAGTGTCTTTGTTCAGCTTCATGTCTCCAGTATCAGCAGATACTTTCTCCATGATGTCCAGGGCTCGACCCAGATATCCACGACCCCAGAACAGAGGCATGCCTTTAAACACTGCATGTATTCCCTTTGACATCTCTACCAGACCTGGGTGTGAAAAACACCAAAAATAAGAAATCTGCAGAACAAAACACTCTACAATATGGTCATTAATAACATACACACACACATACACACACCTAGAAGAGCGTTTCCAAGTAGCTGGGTGTTGAGGCCAATGTTGTTGTTTTGGGTCAGGCCACAGATGAGCAGTGAAGCACCCAGACTTCGCTGCTCTGACATCTGGGAGGAGTACATTTACACAATTCATTTAGAAGAACAATTCATTGAGCAGAGAAGGACTGGTGTCTGCCTGTTTTAAACACATCTACTGTTTTGTTGGGCATTTAGGAAACACAAAAGTATCAGGAATATTAGTTTTACCAACCGTGAGCTGTGGTCTGGAGGCTAGGTACATGCTCAGAGCATGGAGAGACAGAATCTGAGTGGACGGAAGGTCAAAGGCCTCCTGAAGCATCACCTCCTCAACTACACAGCATGCATCTGCACAGAAAATACATTTTTACCATTACACATCCTTTAATTTATTTTCACCAGACTAGAGTTAAAAAAAAAACAACAATTCTGGTAATTTTAAGGAACAGTCTGTTTTGTTTTGTTTTTTTTTCCCTATCAAATCCCTTGAAATCCCATTCTAACTACTGTATCAATGGCAACCGTAGTGGTGTTGTCATCCAAATCACAGCAGGAAGCACCTGCTAAATACAAAATGAAATCTATAAAAGTCTTTCCTACTTCAGAAGTAACACATATTTTGCCAAAAGAAAGAATTTTCCAGCAACTGAATTGTATTTGTTAAACTTGAGTGAGACTCATTTGTCAGTACTACAGTATCTGCATCCCGTCAAACCCATCTTAAGTCTTATCTGAGTTGGTCTGCTGATTTAACCTCATCAAGAAGAACTGATGTAATGATATATATGAGAAACATAATACTGGTATTTCACAGTAGTTTATTCCTTATAGAAAACAGAACAGCACAATTTAAATGAAAAGGTGATGTGAAATATATGAAGACATTTGGAAAGGCAAGGAGAGAAGTGGAAAATAATTAAAAAGATTTAAAAAGCCAGCTGGCTGCAGGAGATTCCTCCTCCCAAACCTTTTACCTCGTCTGCCCTCATTACCTCATTCACCTCCGTGGAGACCAATCAAGCACTGACAAAGTCGTATAATTTGTTTTTCTTGTTACGTATGTTTTCACGGTAGTGTGTCTGGTATCACTGGTGAGCTCCAGGATGACATCACTGCCGAAGAAGTACGACTTCCTAGATGCCACTGCATGGAGTATCAGTATGTGGTTGTAATTCTCTTCTTTGCATCAAATTTAGCCCCAAACTAATACAAAGCATTTGCCATGCTTTACTTAGGGTAACAGGAACACCACTGTATTTTCACCAGAGCCATGGTTCTTGTTAAATATAGCTGATTTTTTTTTAATATGTGAAAAAGTGGTTCTCAAAGTGAGGGGTGGGGACCCCTATCGGTGTATATAGCCATTGCAGGCAATTTCAATTTTTTTTATTGGACCAAATTTGGAAAAAGACTGTAGATCAATTAATAATGTTATGTAATGCATGTTCTACAAGCCACCATCAAGATGCACAGGAGGTATCAACAATAGTCCCATCTCCACTTGGTGTGCGTTACTGTTGTGGTAAACAATTTGAAGTTCTCAGCTTAATATGTTTTTTTAGCCAACTTTTTGACACTACATCATCATGATCAAGGAGAAAACAGACATTTATTTTAGGCTCTGCTTCACTGGCCGTTTTAATAAGTATTTTTCAGATGCCATTTTGCCATCAAAACTGAAAATAATGTAGCCTCTTTTATTAAAGGAGCACAATCAGCCTCTCCGTCACCCCCGTCTTTTATAAACATAGAAAATCAGTGATTCAAATAAGTTATGACTTCACTGATTTTCTTTGAGTCTCATTTCTGGCCACATTCTAAGTTGTGGAATTGTTTGAAGCCTATGTTTAGAAGGCTCTGCACTTGAAAATCAGTCATTTCACTGGACCATAATTAACAGACTTACTTTTATAGTCTCCATCCTTAATGTAAAGATCTAAGAGCAGATTCAAGGTGAAGTCATCTGGGAATATTCCGTACTGGACCTGCACACACACACACACGCAAACAGACTTAATACCCAAAAAACTCACATCACATGTGTAACAATAAGAATTTCCTAGAGAATTTGTTCTTGAGCACTGTTTACTCTCCGTGATTATGAAGTGATATACTGCATGTAATATATCACACACAACACTAACAAGTGCAGATACACATTGCATCACTGACACTGATCTAAACAAGCACAGAGGTGGCCGCGCTGACAGAGTATACCCTGTTGTATCCTTACTGTAAACACATCATCGCCTGCTTGACGTCTCTGCCTTTTAAATAATTCAGTGATACGCAGACACTACAGCACATTCAAGAGCAGCACACACACCGCAGTGAAACTGTCAAACACGTTTGATGTTATTTGTGCTGCTCAGATCAGCCTTAAAAAAAAAAAACCTGGCTCCTTCCGACAGGCGGCAGATAAGATGGGCGGCCAGTCTTTATTGAAAGCTTCTGATTACATTTCCTGTATAACTGTGATGATGAGCCTCATCCACATAGCTGACACGTTGTGCACCTTGTTCTTCAGCGTGTACAGAGCCTTCTCCGTGGCCCCGTACTTCAGACACTGTCTGACCCAACTGTGGACGGTCCAGTCTCGCAGATACCAACAGTTTGGGCTGTGACGAAACCTAAGAAGACAGAAGGACACGGCACTTGCTTTAGTTCAAAGGTTCATGATTGATTCAGAATTAAGAACACAAACGATCACACAAAAAGTATGTGATTGGGAAATACACTAAATCCTGTAATCACAAAAATGGCTGAAGATTCCAAAGGAAGGAGTAAACAGGAAAGGTCTGGAGTTGCCCCGAACAAAGAAAAGAATGTTGCTGAGCATAAACCAAAACAGACAAACCAAAGAGACGACTCATTCCAAGAAAAGCACACAAGAAGGTACCACGGTCCAAAAGTGGGGCTGCGGCAGAGATGGCCCACACAGAACTAGAAGCAGACGAGAGGAGAAATGACGTCTTACTTGTAAAGGTAGTACTCTGCCTGATCCACCTCGTCCCGTGATGAAATGTTCTCAACAAACTGAAACCAGGTAAAGATAAAAGATCAGAAAACAAACCAATCGCAGTCTTTTTTATTTCATTATGGTTAGTTTGGTCAGTTTTTTGTTTTTTTTTATACCCGGGACAAAGTGAGAGAGCTGACTGGAAGATTCTTGTCATACGTTCTGTCCATGATGGAGGCCAGTTCAGCTGCAGGTTAAAAACATAGAATAATCAGATTATTACAAACAGCTGTGTGTTGGTTCTGGTCCTGATGATGGTTCTTGTCAAACACTTTACTTTGACTCAGTGTGGGGTTGGTGTCTCACTCAAAAGGCTCTGGGGAGTGTGCCTTTGTGTCCTTGAGCAAGACACGTTATCCCAAGTGTCCAAAATTTCTCCCACTAACTAGATCCAGTCTCATGGCCCCAAATAAGTAGAGGCAGCATCGAGAAGTCTGTCATGAAATATCAGTGTACCAGCACCCACTGTGGAGACTCCTGGCTGAGAGTGAGTCTATATTTGTCACAGACATCAGTTTGAGCCAACACACACTGAGTGTGTAACAACTGTGTGTTAAATACTGAGCAGCTGCTTCAGTGACGCTATAGAGTTACACTGCCATCCTGTGTTCAATGCTGGAATTGCAAATTTAAAATGCAGTCAAAATAGGAAAGCTTTTTTATAAGCGTTAAAAATAAAAGTCACATAAATCCCGCTACAATTACTATATCTATTAAAAGCGGCCTCTTTCAAGATTTAATATTTTCAAAGAAAAATGTGTCAATTTTGCTAAAAAAAGCCCATGTCTGATATCAATCCATTCACTGCATGTTTATCCTACAGAAAAGTCAGGACAAAATTCTGAAGAAATATAGGTAGAGAAGGTTTCAGGTTTGAGTCCACCAGCTGCCAAGTTACCACTGAGGTTCCTCTGAGCATGACACCGTCCCCACTCACTGCTCCCCTTAAAGCTGCCCACTGTTCACTTTGGTGATGGGTTAAAAGCAGAGGTCACATTTGGTTTTGTGCAGTGGTGTGCTGTGTCACAATGACAAGGAGTTCACTTTCCTTTCCTTATTATTATTTAACCTTTATTATGATGTGTATACATAAAAAAACAAGGTTAAATTGTAGATCGGAGGGTTCTTCTACTATCAGTAAAAAAAACCCACAGGAATAACATTTTGCAAAAATAATCAACAAAATTTGGAGTTTTCAAGTTTTACAGAATCCAAAAAATGCAGTCACCTGTCCTGCTTTTTTCCCCTCTCTTTTCAATACAGGCTACTTTTTAAGATTCTTTCTTTTTTAGCTATTATGTGCTGAAAAAGTCTACAACTTTCAATCACTATGACCAAGACATCCCTTATTTTGTTATTTCAACATAAGATTAAAGGAAGAAAATGCCATATTATTACACTGTCTCCTGACTGACTTGATGGTTTTTTTCTACACAGAATGGATCTAAAGACATTGTGTAGCCAAACAATCATGTAACATGTAGCCGTGGTATTATTGAGATGCAGGAGAGGAAGGAAAAACAGCTTTGACCGAGGTCACGACAAACATCTGATTGTAGAATCTGAGTGACTCTGACTGTGGTCTAACTGTTGTGTGTGATCAGTTTGGTTTGAGTGTTTTTTTCACTGCCAAATTGATCACTTGGGATTTCCACATATCTAACTGTTACCCAAGTAAAAGTAAATAGTGTGAAAAAAAACTTCAGTGAGGGATTGTTCGAGTGACTGAAGCATCAAGTTGATGAGAGAGGGGAGAATTGGCAGACAGGTTGGAGCTGAATGTGGTAACTCCTAACCACCATTTACAACTGTGGTGAGCAGAAAATCATCCCAGAATGCTCAAAATGTCAAACACTAAGCTACAGCCCGCAGAAGGCCACATGTGGTTCCATTCCTGTCAGCCAAGAAGAGAAATCCGAGGCTGCAGCGGGCACATGATTACCAACAGAGGACAGATGAAGACAGTCATGAAGAAAATCACAAACTGGTGTGATGATTCCGACTTTTCTGATGAGTATGCAGAAGGTAAGGTCAGAATTTGTCATTGGCTGCTTGAATCAAAGGTCCCATTAGACCAGACTAGTGGTGGAGATAATAATGATGTATTTAAAAATACCAATCGTCCATGATTTAAAAGCCACAGAAACTAAAGCTGTGGCTCTGACTGACAGACAGTATCCATTTATGCGCCCAGTTCACTGTATTACTACTTCCAGCAAAGTATTGCACCATGGTCTCACAAAGCAAAAGTAATCTCACATCACTGGTACAAAAAGTCAAAACTATTGATCCTATTATTTATTTAAAAAAGAAATAAATAAATAAAATGGTCATTTATATGCATTGCTATCAGGAAGTTTCTCTACTTTTCAAGGGTCAAATACATTGCAAATAATTTAAAAAAACTTCAGTGTAACTATAGTTAATCATACATTCAAGTTTCAACTCTTCCTTCCATCCTGGACACATAACACTTAAGCCATGGTCATAGGTCATCTCTCTCTCTCTCTCTCTCTCTTTTAAATGTTCCACAATGAAGTCTGTTATTCTACACATTAATCTTGAGTGAGGACTGCCTTATTTTTTGCATTATAATATTTTAAAACATATTTATATATCTTATAAATATGTAAAATATATATTATATACTGTACTTATATTAGCAACACTGCAGTTTAAAATGTAATGACTCAGGGCAGTATCTGCCCTTGATTTATGCAAAAAAAGGAGGTACTGACAGCTTTAAATATACAGTATATACTATATACAGTATATATAAAAAAAATCAAACAATTCTTAAGATTGTTGCAAACTTCAAGGCCTTGGTAGATCCTTCTTATAAACCCAGTTTCCCAGCCTTGCTACTACTTCCGATGATTTGGTTTTATGTTTTAAAATAAAGGTCATACTTAATTACTAAACTTTAACTTGTAGTTTGTAATGTGTTTTTTATTTTAGATTATTCATTCATTTCCTGATTTTAGCTTTCACTAGTACTGAAGTACTGTATCTGGTTAAAATTAATCTAATCCTATATAACCATATGTACCAAACAGTAGAAAATTTGTATTAATATTAAAATTATTCTTCTTTGGACACATGACCGCTAATAAATGGTCACTGTAGGTCTTAGGGCAATGGATGTTGAGCTATATACAGGTTGTATAACAAAAAGAATGAACAAATTTTTTTTTTCCTTAATGTGAAAATGATTTGATTTATTTGATGGCACAGCAGTAAATTGGATATATTTTGCTAGTTGATAACAATGAGACATTAAAACTATATTTAAGATATGGGGTAAAGAAATTGTTATTTCTTTTTCTTCCTAACATTTTATAGATACATTGATGATCTATTGATGATTATGAACATATGTAGTAGCATAACATGTATCTAGTGTTTGTGTGAAAGTTTCCTCGGTCAGTGTGCTTCTGTGGACTCCTCTCCCTTCCTGTCATATCTGAATTTACATCACTAAGATACGATTTACCGAATCAGGTCATTGACAGTGACATGAAACAGACCAAAAACTTAAGAGCCAACAACGAGGTCCTCGAGCTGACCCAGCATGCTGTTCCTAATAAACTGGTCCGTAACCGCACCCCTAAATAATTGTATTTAAAGTATTAACATCGATTTAATCTCTTACCCAGGTTCTGAGGATCTTTCTCTCTCGACTCCCACAGTTTGGTGTCTGTGTACGCTGCTGACAGTAACCATCTTCTGGCTGCAATAGAGACATCAGGTCATGTTATAGACACTTCCATAGTCTTCCACAAACAAACGTTCGCGTTGGTAAATATCAGTTATATTACTGTACGAAATCTTTTAACAACAAAAAAACGTGTTTAAAAGCTCTCATTTGAAAAATACCTGTAAAGGAAGGTGATAAACGGTTAACTTTGACAGCAGCAGTCACACATCGCTTCAACACGGACGACGCCATCTTTGGACCATACCATGTTACAGCCAGGGCGGGGGGTTGCCGTATTTCGTTTCTTATTTTTTTAAACTGACGTAAAAAGGACTACCAAACGTGATACTCGAAGGAATCGGACAGTTTTAGTTTTTTTTTTTAGGATTACCGAGTTAATGTATTGTGAATGTATAAATATACTTATCAATCCATACTGAAGTCATATTCATATTTTCGCTCGTGTTACAAATAGTTTTCAAAAAGCATATAATTTTTTCTAATGTATTAAACGCTTAAAGAACTATTTAATAAAACATTTTTTCAAGTATTAGATTAGCCACACGGGGCTATTTACTTTCTTTAATTTAATTGATTTGATGAATTGATTGATTTTAAGCAACAATTAATAGAATTAATCATTTTTTATTAATATGTTTTCTGCTTTACACTCACTTAAAGTAGTAGCAGTACACGATAAAGTAGTAAAAAACAAAACATATATTATTAAAGTAAAATATTCAGTATCAGAACCAAAGCTTCATATTCATCTAGAGTTTTACTTTAGAAAGAATAGATTGAACTTCGCTTGGTATGTAACAAAGTATGTACACATGTTGCTATAGGACTGAGCAAAATAGACAATAGAGGGTGCTGTTAAATAGGTTAGAAAAAAATAAGTGTACAAACAGGAGGGGTTGCTTTGCTTTCAGACAATAAGTGTGTATTTGGCATGGTGGAGAAAATCATTCTGCAGATTTTGAGGACCTGAATTGCCATTAATGATTTACCACCAAAAACACAGTCATACAAAAGCTGAATAACAAAAGCTGAGCTCTATTTAAATCAACTCTAATTATGTATGTGTTTGTATGGGGGTAGCGGAACCATGGCCACAATGTGTCCTCCATCACCTCCTTGTCAGTGAGCCAGCATTTTTTGTTTTTTTCCTCATACGTAGAGGAGGACAATCATCATCTGTAATCACAATAAGCTCCCTGGCTACAGGTCAAAGGGGATAACAGGTTAAGTCTGGGGTGGGACAGTTTTAGTGAACAAAACATGGAAGAATTTAAGCACCATCTTGTTTTCTCACTGACCGACAAAACAGGAAGGTTGCATTAGGCACACGTAGGTAATTGAGTATAATTGAAGTAGACTCTGTATTAAATCTTTAAAGAAATAAATTGGACATGAAGTTGTGTCCTACTTACAGGATAACAGGATAACGTACAGGATAATGTTTTATTTAGTTTGTTTAAATATTTATGATGAAAAGCTTGTTTTGTATAGTATAGTAAGTATTGTATAGGTCATAAGGAGTTGAACTGAGTTACAAAAAACACCCCATGGGACCATTAAAGAAACAGTATGAGAAAGCATAAGTGGCAGAAAAGAGCTTGAATAGTGGTGCTGGATGCGTTTATGTGTTGCAAAGTGAGATGGGTTTGAGTAAACTAACTGCATAACAACACAGTGAATTCTGGAGTATTTCAGTTAAAAAATAAAAAATAAAAATAATAAGCATTATAAGCATTTAAACCAAACAACTGCACATTGTCTAATTGCACTCAGGCAGGAAGTTCGTTTAGGGCCATTTAGCAATGTCACACAATCAACTTGGATAAGTTTAATTTAGTATTTAGTAGTATTTGAGAGAAAACTAACTCTGTATTTAAATATCTACTTTTTTTATTTGTTTCAAAAATAGAGCAAATTCCATGCATCTCTTCTTCTCATTATTTATACAGTAATCAGCTACATTATACATGCAGAAAAATTTCGAAAATCATATCATATGATATAATCAAAATCTTTATTTGTAGTGCTTGTCGTCCATGTATTACACTAATAACTGTGTTTCACAGCAAATCATGTTGCTTTCTTTCTTCTTCTTTTTTTTTTTTACCTCTCACACAAGCTTCCCTTTTCTCAGCATTAACTGTATCACAGCAATAACCTGTATTCCGGTTGGTTGTTTTCAAGGTTTCACTTCAATTTCCAATCATGCAAAAGTGATCAAACAAAATTCTCAAACATGGTCTTTCACATCACCTCAGTGCTGGGAGCAGTTGAGACAGGGGTTGGGCCTGAAATGTGAAGGTAAGGAGAGGAAAGGAAAGGAATGAGAGGAGGATGTGAGAACTTCCTCAAACTGTTTGCAGTTTCGCCCTTCAGGACACGGTGGTCGCCACTGGTAGAAATAGAGAAGCCGCTGTTCTGCATTTCTCATGACAAGAAATGACCTGTTTACCTGTCAGATTAAATGGAGCTGCTGTATACTGAATAGGCCACTATTGTCCAGTACCATAATGATAATGATTACATATGAGATACTTGGAAAGGAAGAAAAGGAAAGTGAACTCCTTGTCATTGTGACACAGCACACCACTGCACACAACCAAATGTGACCTCTGTTTTTAACCCATCACCAAAGTGAACAGTGGGCAGCTTTAAGGGGAGCAGTGAGTGGGGACGGTGTCACACTCAGAGCACCTCACTGGTAACTCAAACCTGAAGCCTTCTGTACCCAAGTCCACTTCCTTAACCACTAAGCCACCACTGCCCCATATAATAATAAGTTTCTTCAGAATTTTGTCCTGACTTTTTTGTAGGATAAACCTGCAAGGAATGGATTGATATCAGACATGGGCTCCTTTTAAAAAAAATTTTTTTTAGCAAAACTGACACATTTTTCTTTGAAAATATTAAACTTTGAAAGGTGCCGCTATGGTGTAATTTGAATATATGTTTTATCATATTGAGCAATAGTAACCTGATTATTCTATGGTCTTGTTTTTGCATGTTCTGCGTTGAGTAGAAACAATGCTGCATTCTGACTGGTGCAGACATATGAAGCCTTTGTCTGAGACACCTACTGTGTCCTTCACCGCTGTTTGATCACAGGCTAGAAGAGAGAAGGTCAGGGGTTTTTTCTCTTCCTCTTCCTTTGCTTTGAAAGAGAAGCAGGAGGAATGAACAGCTCTCCTGAAACTCACCGCAATCATATAATATGTGGTTTGGGTTAGACACTGAGGATGTTGGATGGAACACAGACACATTTTCACACAAATATATCAGTTTATTTATTAATTTAACAGAATCACAATTGGCTCATCAAATCATATTGGCATATAATAATACAAGAACAACGTTTCTCATAAATCATCCGTGACAAAATCATCTACTCAATACAATGAAATAATACAGAGTCGATCACAGTTAGTTTCATCAAGCTTTGTCAAATCTGTTGCTGTCATAAATTAAAGGAGAGAATATGGATGATTTTGATTGATACTATTCTAATATTAATTATATTAATCAAATCTCTACACAAAAAAATATATACTTGATTCAAATTCAAAATACATCTATTGACAAAAAAACATATATTTTTTCTGATTAGCCAAATCATGTATTTTAATATATATTAATTTACTAAATATTATGTACAAGAAATGCTTCACATCTTTTTAATGCAGGGACTTTATTTCTTTTTTGTAAGATAACAAACTTGATGTGTTCATCCTTCCTTTTTGGCCAAGCTACTGCAGCACATCCTTCATAATTACAGACATACAAGCCTCCCTTCTCCTCAGGGAAGTGCCTCCTCAGCATCCTGTACACTTTTCTGTCAAAACAAACCCTCCTCTCATTCTAACACTACTTTCTCAATCTGTTTTTCTCCACCATCCTGTTCGCCTGTAAAGTTACCAGCAACTATTTCACCTGTCTCCAATCTGTTCTGCTCTCTCTCTGCTCATTGATCACTGTCTCTCTGAAGTCGTTCGGCTGCTGTTCACTCTGCTCTGGCTCTTTTTGCTCCTGATGATAATTTTCTAGCTCTGAATCTGAGTCATATGCATATGAATGACTAGAGCCTGGTTCATGGTATGACTGCTGGCCAAGCTCTAAGTAAGATTCATAGGATTCTTCTGACTCCATGAAGTGCTCGGCAGATCGTCCTTCTGCTTTTCCTGCTGCCATCTCATCCGTTACACTTTGCTGATGAAGCTGTTTGTGTTTCTCGCCCACTGACTGATCATCAAGAGACCCCGGTTCTCCCTCCTCTAACTTTTGGTGGTATTGTTCCTTGCCTCGGCACTGATGTGGGTCCACTTCAGGGCTGTACTGGCTCCTTCTGTACAAACTCTCTTCATCTTCCTCCTCCTGACAAGAGCTTCCAAGGATGCTCTCTCCATCCGACTGAGAAAGCCGGAGGCTGGGCAGCTCTGGTGGTTTCTGCGAAAGGTCAAATGGCTCCTCTTGGCTGTAGTGAGTGAGGAGCCCCATCGGGGAAGTCAGGCAGAATTGCCCTCTTTGCCTAAACACTGAAAACCAGAGGACAATGAGATTGAAACATGTATGAATAAATATATCTTCATGCAACAAATAATTCATGTTTTTACATCTTTCATCCAGTCCTCTGTCCATGACTCCGTGTTTGACCTTCATGTGTCTGGTCAGATTTCCCTTCAGTGTGAATTTGCTGGGACAGTAGAGGCATTTGAAGGGCTTGCTGTCTGAATGGAGATGCATGTGGCCCATTAAATTATGCATCCTGTTGAACTCCTTCCCACAGAGCTAAAAAAAAAAAACAATTAGAAAAAGAATAGCAAAACATTAGCCTGTTGTGCTTAGTTATACTAAGTGAAATATCACTTAGTATAAGGGGGTGGGGGGTCTCCTTTCATTTATCAATTTGAATTTAAAAGGAACCTCTTATTTGAATTTTAAAACCATCCCTCTATTAATTTACTCTTAAATAAGTTACCCTACCCTTGACCATGAATGAATGTGCAGGCGTTCAGATACACACACACACACACACACACACACACACACACCCATGAATGCTCCATTCGTTTCCCCCTTTCATCTTTGTCTTCCCTTCTTCCTGCCTCTCTTTCTGTCTGATATCAGAAAAACAGAAGAACAGAGGCAGAGAAAGGGAGAGAGGGAGAGGAAACAACATGGAGACAGGGCCAGGAGGAGGAGAACAGGGAAGGGCAACTCCTGTGCTGTCCTTCCTCTGCATTCTTTTTTATTAGGGTGGTCCTTTCCTTCAGGAGGAGAGAGGGACTGTAAACTGTCCAAGAGGACCGTGAGAAAACAGGAAGCTCCCTCCAGCAGTAGAGAAAGCGAGATGAAATCTATTTGTGGGCCCTGTCCTCTGGGGAGGCTGAGGGACCATTGTTAGAGAGGCAGTTTGTGCGGCAATATCCTTCCTACAGACAAGGAGGCTCCCTCCACCAAAAGCCTCTTTGCTATCTGGTCATCATCTCAGTCGTCATACCAAACATCGAGGTCAAAACACAATCTCTAGAAAGTTGGGAATTCCTTGTAACAGTAGCTTTTATAGAAATAAGTTCCTGGCTACTTTCGGTATACCAAAAAGTTCAGCCTAATAGCTTAGTGGAGCAAATAGTGAGTCACTTCCAAATAATTCTACACAGTCTTTACAATGTGTTTCATATTAATACTAACGCATACAAATATTATTGGGTAGATCCAATGATTATCTTCATCTACTGGAAAAAATATACAGGAATTTATGTATGTCCTGATTTCGTGGGAGCTATTAGCTACGTTTTACATTCTCCACGTGAGTTGCTAAGACAACTTGAAGTAGCTAATCATGAATTTCTGCACTACTTTAAATCAAAATACTCTAATACTACTAATAAAGATAATCCCTTTCCCATTTCCTTTCTAGTGGTTCCATAGTGTGGTGGTTAATGGCGCCTCCTGTGGCAGTCTGTGTCAGTTGCAAAGACTCAAACTGTACATTTTCAATAAGGACCCAAATGTTATTAATTAATTATTTTAAGGGATACTTGTTGTTGGGAACCTGTAGGGGCAGTAATGCAGCTCAAAGGATGCATAGTTGCCATTAGTACCTCAAACTATCAATTAAACATTTATAAAACCTGCAGAAAATGAAGATGTGTTTTCTGTTCACAAACACATCCCGTATAATCTTCATTTTTGTGTCTATTCTCTATCCTGTCTGCCTTCTGACTGGTTTATTATTATTATGACTATTATGGAGGCCAGTAATTTCAACATCATTGTTTTGGAGCATTTCCTGAATGTCTGTTTTTCTTCTGCTGGAGGAACTGCCTCCTAATATCTTTCAGGCCACGTCATTATTAATTTTTTCATGTAGCTCTTGGCAGAAGTTTTTTTCCATAAATTTTACAAATTCTTTTAATCTATTGAGGGACAAAGCCCAATACAGGAAAGAAAAAAACAACCATTTGCCATTCAAAACATTACTGACCTTGCACTTGTAAGGCTTGATGTCTGAGTGGACGATCATGTGAGCCTTAAGAGTCTGTTTCTGGACAAAACTCTTGAAGCACATGTGGCACTGGTAGGCTCGTATGTTGGTGTGGATGAGGACGTGGCGCTTCATGTTGGCCAACAGGGTGAACTCACGACCGCAGATCCGACACTTGTGCTCCTTCACGCCCTGAGGATCATGGGAATGTAGAGGCAGCAGAGACATCATCAACAAACAGACCTGTAGATCTTCAAAGTCCAAAGTTTGAGATACTTAATATGTCACCCTAAGTTTTTATACGTCTGTTAGAAAACATCTGTATTTTTTAGAAATCATCTCTAAAGGTCTTAGCTACAGTTGTATTTAGTCCTGAGGCCAATCCAGAGGTCGATGTTAAGGGGTTAAAATGACATGACTTTCGGTAAAAAATTGCTCTGAGACTGCTGACAGAAATAATCAGTTAGACTCGCAACCAAACTCTCTCATCCAACTTCACATTTAAAAATGTAAACAAGAAATAATGGACTCGTCTTGGTGTGACAGCCTAATTGATGCCAAAGTCTGTGCTTTTCCATCCAAGTCCTGTCAAACGGCGAGAGAGGGAAAAAAAAGGGAAAAGTTGTGTGTTTTGTCTTCATTTTTCCTGGTGAAACATACTTTGTGAGTGAGCGTGTGCTGTTTCAGGTGGTGAGACTGGATGAACTCCATCCCACACTCGCTGCAGATGTATGGTCTGATGTCTTTGTGTTTCATCATGTGGTTCTGGAGTTGACTGGGATACTGGAAAGTCTTCTGGCACTCTGTACACCTGCAGGAAGAAGGGGGAGACTTTTCTTCGACGACCAAATAGAGCAGTGACGTGTGAAAGAAGGACGTTTTCATTTTAGCCGGAACTCTCTTTCATTTGCTGAGATAAACAAAATGGTGGATTTATCTTTAAGGTCCAATAGTGAAGGTACAGGCTGCAGTAACAGCAGGGCCAGGTCTGAGTGTCTAAATATAGGAATCTACATCATGTTTGGTTTATCTCGACTTTGCTGCAGCTTTGCTGCTATATTTAGTTCAAACTCTTGCCAAAATAAAGCAGATAAAGATGAATGGGGAACTTACAGAATGAGAGTCACTTTAAACTGATTTTTACTGAAGTCTAACTTTTCAAAGGCCACTAACTTTACACTGGTGCTAAGAGTTCTGGCTACAGTTTGACCCACGAAATGAAACCTTCTGTTATGCTTTCTTTTATTGGTATTTCAAAATCAATTTGTCAAACAGAAAACTCAGTGTAAATCAAAGTATCTGTTGATACTACAGATTCTTATAAATCGTTTTTGAAAAACATTCTCTAAAAACAGTAAAAAATAAGAAAAACAAGTATGTGATTTTTTAAATTTTCTTTAACTTTAGCATTTTACATTTTTTGGAATGTCCTCAATAAACAACAATGATTAACAAAACATTTTTAGCCTTAATTTCTCAGCCTGGTCTGGTTCAGTCTGTCGTTGTATTTCTATGGTCTGCCTCTACTCTTTCATGGGTCGTGGGAGGAGCTTACAACAGCCTTAATCCTTAAATATGCATGTAAGTTGACTCCGTCTAGTTCTAACTGCTGTACTTGACCATGGAGCTGCTCTTCATCTGCTCACCTGTACAGGGTTGGACCACGATGGACACTAAGGTGTCTTTTCAGTTGAGCGAGTGTCGGAAAGTCCAGACCACACTCCACGCAAATGTTCTCCTGACCTTTTTCATGCTTGAGCTCGTGAGCACGAAGTTCACTGGGGTACGCAAAGCCTCGACCACACACACTGCAACTGGAGGAAGGAAGACAACGTTGTTGATTAAAAAATAAAACATTTAAATTAAAAAGAGAAGATTACAAATCTGGAACAGCGGTTCACCTGTAAGGCTTGACATCACTGTGCTGCATCATGTGCCTCTTCAGGTGACTGGTCTGGGTAAAGGCCTTGTGGCAAACCTGACACTTGTGAGGTCTCATGCCCTGGTGGGTGAGCAGATGTGTGTGCAGGTGACTCAGCTGCTTGAACAGTTTCCCACACAGGTGACAGCCATGGGGTTTGATTCCATTGTGGCCCAGAATGTGTGTGACCAGGTTGTACTTGGAGGTGTAGGACTTGTCGCACATGCGGCACTTCCACCTCTTTTGGTCGCCTCCGACGTCCACATAGTAACTGTCATCCACGTGGATGTCCAGCCCAAGCTTCTCAGCACTGGTTGACCCCCCTCGAGGAGCCCCCTCACGAGCATGGTGGCCAGGACGCAGGTCCTCCCTGCGGTAGAAAGCACTGGGCGAGAGTTGCATGACTGGCCCTGGCATGAAAAAAGGGTAAGGGAGGAGGCTGCGGTGGTAAGGAGAGGGGAGATAAGGAGGGTGGAGAAGTAGAGGAGACGGAGGCCAAACAGGAGAAGGGCTGAGGGGCTCCTGTTTGA